ATATGTGATTGGAAGAATGCGATCTAAAGAAGTTAGATTCATGAGACCATTCTTTCGTTGACACATCCTAAACGTTCCTGATCATAGGATTCTCAATTGGGCATTGACAGTCCGTTAAGATCAGTACGTGCTATGTCTTCTCTCAGGGAGAGTGACTAGTCTCGAGTCATTGGTGTGTATGACATCAAGACAAGTACGTAGGTGCTCAATAGAGAATGAGTTCACTGAACACGATCAATGAAGAGTTCTCATATTCATGTCACATGAGAACTCATGGTTAGGATAATGCAAATTAGTCTTTTGACCTGAGGCATCACAGTTGTCTTATGGTTAGGTCCTTAATCTTTGATTATGTCAAAGTCACTTCATTAGGAGGGTGTCCAAGGCATCGTTGGGGTTAAGCCACTTAGCCATGGAGGCAAGTGAATGCGCAACAAGGGATCTCTAACCTTCAAACTGTTTGAGGGAGAATACTCTATGATATGATTAAGAATCTTTGGCCAAAGTATGAATGAGATTTAGGAATGTGTTCCAAATCACATTCAAGGTAATCATATAAGCACAAGACTCACATTGGATAGTAGACATGAATAAACTATCAAACCAAACAATGTGGTCAAGAGTATTGTATTAGAGAAAGACCGTATTGCATTTGTAATCCTAAAACTGAATAGGTTCTCCACCTCTTCTGATTAGCTTGGGTAACCATGACATGCTGCTAGGCGTCAACCATGGTTTGTGGAAGCCCTAAAAGTGCATTAACACTAACGGGAGAATTGAAAGTAAGTTTCAATTCACAATCGATTTGAAAGAGTTTGAATCGCCCACTGCCTCGCTAAAAGGAACCTAATGGATCGTTCACCGAGTAAGGTAGAGTTTGAAGAAACAACGGAGATGAGTAAGAATAATTAAATGGTTTAATTATTTATCCAATGGCAAGGATTAATTAATATGTTAATTAATCAAACGAATAAGTTCGTTAAAAGACCTCGGGATAGTTTTGGACCTTAAGGCCCAATGGGCTTCGAACGTCAAGTCCATTGACTTAAGTTGTATGACAACTTAATGAATAATGATTCACAAATGCCCAAATAGCCCAATAAATCCCCTTAGGCCGGCCATTGAAGCAAAGGAGTGGTTTTGGACTTATTTACAAGTTTGCCACTCAAATGAATTAAGGAATAAGTATGACTTAATAGCCAAAATTCATTAAGGGTTATTTTTTGGGGGAAAGGATGAGAACACAAGCTCTCCTTTCTCTCTAAAAATTTCGGCCAACCTTGGAGGGATCATCTAGCAATCAAACTCCTCCAAGGTCACTCATTTCTTCTTCATTATGCCTTGGTGATGAATAATTAGAGGTTTTCAATTTTGGGAACTTGGAGAAATTTTTTCATCCATCCAAATCCATGGATCTAAGATGCAAGGAATGAAGGCCCTCTCTTTGGGTGATTAGCCTTTGCTTATGCAAAGAGGAATCTACAAAGGTATTGATTTCTCAACTCACTTTGTTTTGAGTTGAGTCTTGGTTCACCTATCTACTAGGCTTTGAATTTCATGGGTAAATGTTTTGTTTTTAAGTGCATACAAGCATGATTCCGCCTTTAATTGTTAATTGCATGCTATTGATGTTGCTTAAATGAACATGTTTTTCACAAATCTTCCTTCAAACACTGTTTCAGATAGGGTGAGTTAGATTTTACAAATTTTATGTACATTTTATATTGTACAAAACCTTATCCCTTCCCTCTTTAAAATCTCTCCCGTGACTTGCTCTACCTCACCCACCAATCAACTTTACTCCCACATTTTCTCCCACACACACACACACACACACACACACACACACACACACACACACACACACACACACACACACACACACACACACACACACACACACACACACACTCTCTCTCTCTCTCTCTCTCTCTTATCCAATCAGAAAAGCCTTCTCTCTCTCTCTTATTCTTTTCTCCCTCACCCGTCACTCTCTCTTCTCTACAACAACCTTACACCATAAAAAAAACTTCACAAATCGAACCTCAAACCACCACCATTAAACTCCACTCATCCCCACGAGTCCATTCGTACAAATCGATCTTAAAATGGACGAGTTTTGAGCTTCCAACTTGGAGCAACTCGGAGCTCCGACTAGGGTAGAGGTTCCTCGTCGATTTCCAGCTCGTGGTACAAAGTTTTGGGAGATTTGGAGGCTACTATACAACTCCCCGTGACCACTAACCTAAGTTGGGATAGGAGCCAACGTCGAAACATGCAGTTTCAAGGAGTTGAAAATAGGTCCGAGACTTTCGAGCTAATTTCAGTCCATTTTCGTCCACTTTTTGGACTTTTAAAAGGTATAGACTTGTTCTACTCTTCATAAGCTTCATTTCCATATAAAGTACGTCAAAAATGGTTAAGAAATGAAGAAGATATGAAGTTTTAAAAATTTTCTAGAATCTAGTGGAAATTCTCCAATTTCCCGCAAACCAGACGACGGCGGTAGATGGTGGAGGACAACCAGAGAAGAAGGAGAATATTTCGTTAAAGGTAATGGAATATTCTGAAGCTGTTAGGTAAAGTCGTTAATATTTAATGGAATATTTCGTCAAATCTGACATAATATTCCTTTGTCATTTGTCAGCGTGTCAGGCGCGTGGCATGTGCATGGGCGCGCGTGTGGCCGTGACCTAACGGTGCGTGAGGGCTCTTTCGGCCTCCGAGCAGCGCGTGCTTGACGTGTACGGTTCCGTGATGTCGAGTAGAATGTTTTCGTATATTTAAACCCTCCGTTTGAGCAAACTATGGAGGATTTTCCTAGCCTTTTAGTATATGTCCTAATTAATTTATTAGTAAAGTTATTTCACATATAGGTGAGACTTACCCCGAGAAGGTACAAGGACAAACAAGGTTAGGAGGCTACGATTCATCGATGTATCAGTGAGTGAACATTTGTTTTTATATATTATATATAAAGTTTATAGTTTCCACATATGCTTTTGGATTGATTTTACGCCTATCATGCCATGTTCTATTTAATTTTAAAAATGCCATATTATTGTTGAGATTTTTATATGTTGTCATGGCATGTTCACATACATTATACTTGCTCATCATGCATGCTTGGACTAGTGTTGTACTCGCCTAAGCTAAGACCAGGCTTTATGTGTATGTTCACATCGCACCGTACGCTCACATTGGATTCATTGTAGGTGCCAGTCCTGTCGTACAGGTTGCAATAGGCAACTCGGACTCGTATCTGATGAGCCTAGCGCCAGTCTTCACGTGATTGTAGTACTATAGTGTATATTATGATTACACCCAGTTCTGTTCCTGTTAGATTCCTTCTGCATGAAGTCGTGTGTTAGCATAGATTGATAAGCACCTGATTTTATTATGCTATTGTTGAGATATTATGATTGGCGTATTCCTGGATTTATCATTGATTTACATTTGATTTCACACTTATACGTAGTATGATTTTCTGAAAACTATACATGTTTTACCGCTAAGGGTTAGTATGTTCAGAAAATAAATATGTTTTATAAACCTTTGTTTTTGTCCACTCACCCTTCTGTTTTTTGCCCATCCAGGACCTAATTAGCTGAACACCCTGTGGCGTACGAGGAATCTTCGGCATATTTTGACATTTCCATAGATAAATGTAGGGGCTTTTTCCCGATTGTGTATTAAGTACTTTAATTAGTTTCAACTGCACTACTTATGTCGTACTGTCATCTATACTCTGAACAATTGTGTTTTATGGGTTCTTCCCACTACTGTGCACTCTCTACTTTAGATTAAATAAATTTTAGTTTTGTTTTAAATTTATCCATATTTTTCTTATGCATCTTTTCCTTTTTGGTTACGTCATTCTCGGATGTCCGCCAACATGTCTCAACTCCGGTCAGGATGTGTCATATTCCAATTATAATATTCAACTGCATTAAAATAATGTGAAAAATGATGAATGATCTGTAACAGTCATGCTAGCAATTAAGCAAAGGAGGCAAGTGGGCTTCATCCCCAACCCCACTCCACCAAATCTCGACTTTAAAAATCATCCACTTACTCAGTGGCTAATAAAACAAAAGCCAGCAGAACCCATCCACTCAACCCAAAAAGCTAGCTACCCAATACAAACCATCCCCACTTGACCACCCAACAAACCAACCCAATTCCAAGCCAGAGAGTGGACTGTCACTACACAATACTTCACCACCATGTAACCCTACACAAAATTTGGGGACAATTTCCAACAATTTCCTATTATTTTACTAATAAAAAAAACTGACAAGGGCTTAAAGCCCTTTTTTAATAGAGGCCTCTAAATGGGTTCAAGAAATACTCGTTATTGTTAAGTTGGCTAGAGTTTTACTCTCCAGTTTAAATCTCATTAGTCCATAAGAGTAACCTATATGTTACAGTCAGGCCATCGTCAATCCAGGATTATAAATCACATTTAGTACTAATATTGATAAAACCAGTCTAGAAATAAAGGATTGAAGGGATTTGAGCTAAAAGAATTAGGCTAACTTTGGCTTCAAAACAGACAACATTTAGCCCCAAGACAAGTTATGTTTGGTAAAAGAAAAAAAAAGTAAAAAAATATGTAGGAGAACAAAATATAGCCGAGGTTAGAGATGAAATGTCTTTAAAATATTTTGAATGTCAAAAATATAGTTAAAGGTTGCGTTTAGTCTTTATGATTGAAGATGAACTTACATCGTCATTGTAGTATCTAATATTAATGATATGACAAAACATTTATGTCTACATTCACACAGGACGTTACTGGACCGTGTACACGTCTTGTAAATCTACATGTAGTTTAATTAAACTAATTGTAATTACCATATTATTTGTAATTTTTTATTTACTTGTAAATTAGAATAAATAGACCCAATGGAAGAAAAAAAGGGCTTTGGGCTTAATTTTTGGGACTAAAAAATTGTCTTGTCGGTGGGAGAGAGTGGACTCTCCTCCTCTCATAGTTTTATGATAACCCGCCAAGCTAAGCTACTTTTTTCACACCAAAAGCCTCTCTCTCTCTCTCTCCCTCTCTCTCCTCAAGAAATAAAGAAAAGCATTTTTTACTCTCTCTCTGGAAGCGTCTGTCTTGTATCGCCTTCTTCTCCCGTTGTCCTCGTTTGTTTGTAGAGAATAAAGAGAGGAAGGAACGGTTTGAGGGATTGAGAGATTGAAGGGAAACAATACTTAATCGGAAAATGAGCAGCGGCGGCGGTGATTCGATGGAGGCGGAGTACATACGGAGGCACCACAGGCACGAGCCCAGAGAGAACCAGTGTACTTCGGCTCTGGTCAGGCACATCAAAGCCCCTGTGCATCTCGTAAGCCTCTCTCTCCTCATCTCTCTCTGGACTGTATATCGAGCTTCGAATTGTGGTTCTTTCGATTTTGGGTGGTGTTGATTTGTTTGACCTTTTGTTAAAGATAGGATTTTCTTGGTGGGTTTGACTTTTTTTGGTTTCGAGATCTGGGAAATTGGGGACTATGGGAATTTTTGGGGGTTCTTTTTTGTGTTTTTTTCTTCTGGGTTTTGTTATTTGGTTCAATTGGGTCGGATATGCGTTCAGATTCGAGTTTGATTGTTTGTTTCAATGAATTTGTTGTTGCTGAAATGTAATATTTGTGTAGAGGATGGTAATTTATGGCAAAATTAAGATGGTAATTTAAGTAATTTTGGTTTTGTTTGTGATGATTTAAGAAAATTGAATTCCAAGTGGTTTGGCTTAATAATTCTCCCCTTTCAGTTTGTTGTGATTGTTTTTGTAGTTGCTGAAAAGTGTAAGAAAATCCTTAGGAACTATGAAAATTTGAATAAGGGGTGTTTCTTTTTCTTTTTCCATTTTTTTCTTAAATTTTAGCTTGCACGCAAAGAAAATGTTTCCTTTTTTGCACTTTCTCTATAGCCAAACAAATTGTTAGTTTTTTTAATGGCAAAGACCTAGTGGAAGCTTGACGCTTGCCTTTTGGGTTCACTGTTGCTATGTTTACGATAAGACTAATTTGTTGATTTAGTGGTGTGATCAAGTTGGTGTCTTTGATCAGGTGTGGTCATTGGTGAGGAGATTTGATCAGCCCCAGAAGTACAAGCCGTTTGTTAGTCGGTGCACCATGAAGGGGGACCTTGGCATTGGGAGCGTTAGAGAGGTGAATGTTAAATCTGGGCTGCCCGCAACAACCAGCACTGAGAGGCTGGAGCTTCTTGATGATGATGAGCACATTCTTGGAATCAAGATTGTTGGCGGTGATCATAGGCTAAGGGTAAGAAGTTTTCTTGTGCCTTTGCCTACTGGTGTGATCTTGCTTTTATCCATTTGATTGTCAAATAGGAAGTAAGCTTGTCTCTGTTGCTGTGTGCCTGCTGTGTTTTATGCCACGCATACACATTTCACAACTCCACGCTACACAAATAGTTTCAGATTAACCTAACTAAAATTTCTGGCACACATGGCTGTAAAAGTAAAAAAAAACAAGAAGTTTTCAAACAAAATAAACTGCTTTATAGATTTGTAGTTTGGGACTGTTCCATCTGCGTGCCTGAGGGTTTCATGTATGTTCTTTTGTGTCTGTTCTTTAATCAGCAGAATATATTTTAGGGTTCTCTGTGCGTGAATAGATAATGAGTGGCTGTTTAGCTTGGAAATGCTTTTGATAATGTTTCCTTTTGAATATATTGATTTTCGAAATCAAGTTGTCAATAATTGATTTGTTTCACTTTCTATTTTTAGAAAGAGTGAAGATAGTTTGTTTTTAACTGGTAGCAACTGCTGCTTGTTCATGACAGCCATGGCCACTCAGACGTTGATGCGGCAATATGTATGGATAGGTCCCATCCGATTACCTCACATGCTATGTATGCATGGTATGAGGAGTGCATGTAATATGTGCCTGCAAATAGGGTTTAGGGTTCCTTAGTGATTGCCCGTAACATTCTCAACGTATCTCAGAACTTAATCTTAAAACATGTAATATTGATAACGGCAACATTTGTCTGTTTTCAGTATACAGACAACGCTGCCAGCATCCGGCCATCACATGCATGAAATATGTATTTTGTCAATTTATTTGCTCAAATTAGTTTACAATTTTTTCATTGATGTTTGGAAAATATTCTTTTTACACCTGTATTATTATGTGGTACAGGAACGCCTTCCTAACCTCATTTCTATATGTTCTTTGAATTTGCAGAACTACGCTTCAATTATTACTGTACACCCTGAGGTTATTGAAGGAAGACCGGGGACACTTGTTATTGAATCCTTTGTGGTGGATGTGCCTGAGGGGAATACCAAGGATGAGACATGCTACTTTGTTGAGGCCCTGATCCGGTGCAACCTCAAGTCTTTGGCTGATGTCTCAGAGAGGATGGCTGTCCAGGACCGAACTGAACCTATCAATCATTAGTGGAGTTGGGGAATGGCACAGGAGTACGATAGGCTATAGGTAAACCAAGCATGTGGTTTTTTTGTCTCAAATGCTGTGTAGAGATAGTCGGAGCTTTCCTTCCATTCACCGAAGTTTTGGATCTTTTGCATTTCTGACTGATGAACATCCTTCCTACCCTCTTTCCAATTGCTCTCGCATATATTCTTCTCACACTGGAAATGATTGTGCAGTTTCTCGTATTCATGTCTGATGGACGAGCTTTATAGGTTTTTATAAGCTCTCCATGGATGGAAAGGGAAAGCTACTGTGAGTTTTATTGTTCCTGTGTTTCGTGCATGGTGATACCGATGTTAGTACGACTCTGATCTGTAAATATTTATCTTGGAAAGAGATGGTATCTATGGAATTGGGGTTTTCATGTAGTGCAGGGAGGATTCAGGGCTTCGAACCGCCGTTGCGTTGTTGTTTGTTTTTGTATATACCTTATGTATTTGCATTCTTAATAAATTATCGTAAACGCGTTACTTGTGTCTTTCTACTTGGTGGATTATATGTCGATGCCTCAATAATAATGACCTATCCTTTCGTATGTAACTTCAGTGTTGTGGAATTCAATGAGAATATCTGCACAGATTGATGAGAACATGCAATGGAGCTTCCGTCGTATAATCGCAACCGGCTGGCATCCCTACACGGGTGAGCTCTGTGTAGGCTTCACTGTTACAAAGACTGGCCTTAGCAGTCCTCCAAACCTCTATGCATTACAAGGAGCATTCACCGAAAACTTGACCAATTGGGGTGAAGTTCTCACCCCATCTGCCTTGATCTTAGCTCCGTCTGGGCCGGTTGAAGCATTTTGTAGCCCTCCCTCCTTACCAGCAGTCATTGCAAGTACACTCGCTTTCCCTGAAATGGTGAAACCGAACACCGTCCTCGAGGAAAATCTCGCGTTTACGCACTAACTACATGTATTTTGCTGCTGCATGGCAATCGTAACAAACTCGTGTGTTCTTGGTCACCCTGATGGTTTCTCCACTTTTCGTATTCATCAGTCCGTAAGCAATGGCCAACTTCTCCGTGCCACTTTTCGTATTCTTCTTTTCCACCTCATTCCCTAATTTCTTCATCTCATGAACCAGATGATACAATTCAAAATATACCTATCCTTCATCGGTATGAGGTTTTCCCTTGTGCAGAAAACATATGAATTGTCTGATCAAGACGTAACTGGCTGGATTATGAGGTTCCAACTCAAAGTGATTCTTTGCTGCAATCTCTGCAAACCTCAGGTTTTTACGGATTCGACAGGATGTGATAAAAGCACCCTATATAGTTGCATCCGCTATAAAGATATGTTGAGCATAAACTACAGTTATAGAACCAATTAATTTGATTTGAGGGTGCATTTTTACTCAGCATCATAACTGTATGGTGGGTATACACGTGAGCTAGGGATCCCAGCATCACTTATCATCTCATGGGCCAGCTTCCACATCTTCTTGGATTCTTTGCTCACATGTATATATTCTTCAACCTAGCTAATTATACATAATGCTAAAGAGATCAAAATTTTAAACTAAGCTTGCAACCCAAATGACATGTCACTAATAAAAGATAAGCATGCTAACTGACACTTAATTAATAATATAATCATCTACAATAACATTATTTAATTTAAAAAACTTGGTCTTTTTAGCATTACCCTGCACTGTCTACCGCATCTCACCCCTAAGCTGCACTTGAAAGTTCGGACCAGCTTAACTATAATTAATTGGTTAACAAGAGCATGAACTATCAATGGAGGTTTACATAAGAATAAAAGGGCCAATTGTATCTGTCGACCTCATTGTCTCTTTGTTTCATTCGGATTGTATTATCGGCTTAGATTTTTATTAGTTCTTTTTGGTGTTTCCCTACCGGCTTCAATCGATTACTTCATCAGATCCATCTATTCTCCTCAAACAGGGTGACGAGTACAAGCATAATCTACTTAGTTAGATTATCTTTTTTGTTTTATTCAGATCGTACTTTACGATGCTTGAAAGATGAATCATTAGGCCATCTCCAACCAAAGGAGATATGTTTAGCCTCCGTCCAGATAGGTCTGCAAGAAAGTTATTTTTTAATGAACAATATCAGTCTATATTCATATATCATCTCGAATTGAATGAGACTATTTTTTAGCTCCCTTAATAATTTATTAATTTTAAGTTTGTTCTTTAATTTTATTGGTTAATTGAATTAAACTACCATACTTCTAAATGAATAACTCTCCATATTTCTTATCCTTATGTAATTTTAATAATTTTCCGGAATGCTCTGTTTGTTTGGCTTCAAAAAAAAAATTAATTAATTTTTCGGATAAGAGTTTAAAGAATGTGAAGAATTAAAATAAAATGAGGTAAAATAGTGTGGAATGGTGAAAATGATGTGAGAAATGGAGTAGAAATGTGTTAAAAAAAAAAAATCAAATCCAGTGGCTAGCTGATATTAGCTAGCAAGTGGGTTGCTAACAGCTAGGCCCAACATTTCGGGCTGGTTGGCTAAGAATGTCCAGCCCGCTGGCCATATGCCTGGATTTTGGCCCGGTGGGTTCCAAATTTTTTTGGCCTAGCCCTCCATTGAAGTAGATTTTGTGTTAAAAAGAGCCATGTTTTAGCCTATGCCCTTTGACCAGCTTGGTTGGAGATGACCTTACTTATATTATTGCTCCATCTGTGCATACCTAGTTTCAACTCGTAGTTGTACCATGCACAACCATTTATCCAATATGACGTAGGACTATAAGAGTAGTTCAGATTGGCGAATTCTAGATGTGAATAGTAATGTTCGCACGAATAGTGTGTTTATGCGATGAACAATGTTTTTGGAGTTTTTAGAGTTCATCTATGTCTCAAGATATATCGTTTCATTCAATCAAATTCCTATAGTATCGTGCCTTCTTCTCAGAGTTTGGATTCCTCATTTTGGTTTCCTAGCAACAAGGTGTTTTCTCTTCGGCTTCTTCGTGGAATTGCATTCGTAGAGTTTGGATTTCTCATTTTGGTTTCCTTGCAACAATGGTATTTTCTCTTCGGCTTCTATGTGGAATTGCATTCATTGTGTGGCTCCGAAAATTCCTTGGGATCACTTAGTGTGGCATAATGCTTGTATTTCGCGTGTGAATTTTGTGTTATAGTTAGCCGTCAAGAATAAGCTAACTACGCTTGACCGCATTGGTCAATTTTCTTCTCGTGCCAATCTCAACGGTGTGCTTTGCGACTTTGACTTGGAATCTCATTCCCACCTCTTCGTTGAATGCCCCTTTACTGAAGGTCTATGGCAGCATGTGTTGATGAGGTGTGGGGTTCCTTGGTTTCATCCTCTGTGGCCTTTTTTTGTGGACTATGGCAGCCCATTGGTGTGGGAAATCCCTTCCCGTGGTGGTTAGAAAGCTCTCTCTTGCAATCACTGTCTATTGCATATGGTGTGAAAGGAATAACCGCATGTTCAACAATTGTAGAAAAACCCCTGCTGCTCTTCTTCAGTTGATCACTAATACGATCCGGTATTGGCTATGTACTTTGCATGTTAAGCTCTCCACCATTAACATGATGGTCCTCCATAACAAAAAAAAATGTTGTTCCTTAGGCTCTAGGCTTTCTTGTCATCTTCCCCTATGTGGGTTAGGCTTTGTTTTGGGTTTCTTTTCCCTTTCGTTTGTGGGTGCTTTGAGAGTTTCTCTGTGCCTGCTTTATGTTTCATGTTCTCTTTGGGCTTTGCCCCGTTGATATTACTCTTTATTTAACAAAAAAAATGACATAATAAAGATTGCTTTCAAGCGTTTAACGACGCCCAATCACACACATCACTACAAGAAAAGTAGGCAATAATCACTAACATTGGCTAACTTTTCTTGTCATACATGCATGAACATCTCCAAGGTATACGAGTTATACGATTCTCCAAAATTATAGTTTCTACAATAACCTAAATCATTTTTTTTTTCAAAACCTAAATTATTTAATGAAACCAATTAATTTGATTATTTTCCATTTGGTTTTGAGAAGCTTAAAGTGGAACTCTTCATGGACTCTGTCATCTCATAGTTTAACATTAATTTCCCTATCAATATTATAAAATATTGTGCTAAAAACATAATGTGGCAAAAAGTTTATGAAGAATTCCACTTTTAAGAGAGTGACTCTAAAGGAGTCGTGGACTGCATAACAAAAAAGAATGTTAGTGTTATGTGGAAAATTTTCTCCATTGTGTTTTGGAGGCTTTAGTCGTTTCTCAATGCTGTCAGATGCGATGGGTGTCAAGGCAGACAAATAAAGCAGCTCATGCGGCTGCAGCGAGGGTGAGAAACCACAGATGGGCGTTGGTTCTTGTTCTTTCAAGAGATGGGCTTCCTTGGCCCCTTTTAATTAGGTTTTTTTTTTTTTAACTGGATGGCTTAGGGCCATCCTTTTGTGCCTTTTGAGGCTTGGCAGTGCTTTCCTCTTTCTCTTTTTTTTTTTTTTTTTTTTTTTTTTTTTAAATTATTTTTTTTTTATGGGAGTTTAAATGTATCAACTATTTGAACATGGAATATCATTGTTCATGTTTAGTTCCGTTTCTTGAACATGGGATATCATTGTCCATGTTTAGTCTCCTAATTAGCATTTCTCTTTGGTTTTAGTAGTTAATTATTGTTGTATCATCGTATTATCGAAAATCAAAAGTCAATGACTGTGGAGCGTTCATTAATTGCTGATTGTATAATAATGAATTCTAACATTTTCATTTACAATACTTAATCATTAATAAAATAACGTCTAGTGAGATACAGATCCTTTGTGCTAAAATGGACCTCCAATGATGACGACCTATAGCTCGGATAAGCTATGGCTAAAATCACGGTCGATCTCTCATATCTCACAAAGGCTATCCCACGAAATCACATGGAAGAATTTATAACAGAAAGATTGTAAGCAAGAAAGCAAGAGAAAGGAAGAAATTGTGTTTCAACAAATACTCTTTTCGCAAGTTCCGACGAGCTTTTTATATTCTTCCACATATATATACGCAATTCCTTTACTTGTACTCGAAGGCTTTGTTGCCCGATGTCACATTGTATATATCAAAAGTGTTAACCCTATCAATGAAATCCATCTAATTATATCAAATCATACATATGGTATCAATGAAAACATTCTTGTGTT